TGGCCTTAGACTAAGAATAGTTTAAGGATATTGTTGAATGTTGAATATTGAATATTGAATATGAATAAATATTGAATGATGAATATTGAATTGAATATTGCAATTATTATGAATGACTGATGAACATTGAATGTGAATATAAATGTTGAATAATGCATGATGAATAATTTTTAATAATTATTGATTATCTGAACTGAACATTATGTGCATGATATCAAATGATTTGATTATGAATTTAGATTCAGTTTATATGGATGTTCGACGCATTAGATATGCTTACTCAGCTTCAACGCTGAGCGTGTAGTATGTTTTATTTGTTACATGCAGGTTAATGAAGTGACGTGATCCTGGAGGCAGACGGAGGCGAGATTGTCGGAATGGATGTGATGGTTTTGAATTAAAGAACATAAATAAATTATGTTTGTGATTATGATTGTTAAGCTTCCGCAATATTAAAAACTTCGTACTGTTTATAATGTGAAAAATATTATTGTGATAAATAAAAGTGTTTGAAATGTTTTAAATTTTACGATTACCAAGTTAATACTTTAGTTCAAAAGGGGCTGTAGATCTGGAGGGATTAGGGTGTTACACTACTAAGTGCGTCACCCGTGCGATACACGAGAAAAAAATCATATACTAATTGTGAAAAATATTTTATATTTTAAATTATTGGGTACTATTTTATAAATAGTACATTCAATTTATATATATTTTCATTTCTATTTAATTTACATAGACATACAAAACATAAAAGAGAGAGTATTCAAGACTACTATGTTCAATAGATAATATGAGAATGAAGGATAATATAGAAAAGATGAGAATGAAAGAGAGTAATTTGTGCACATTAAGGCCAATTAAACATCTTCAATTACCTCCTTATCAACTACATTTGTTGTAGTGTTAGCTGGAGTATTTTCAAAATTATATATCATTATTTTTAAGCAACGCGGGAGCGTACCCTAGAAATCTGTTGGGGACTTGTCGTGTGGTCCAAAACAAATCCGTAATCCAGTGGCTACGGAACTATGGTGTATTATTATTATTGTTATTGTTGTTGTAATTGTTGTTGTTTTTTTGAAGTAAAAAAACACTTTCATTCATCAAATCAAATGAGAAACAAAGTCAGGGGGAGAATTCCACCACTCATTAGTCCTCTCCCCCGCCTCTCTAGCAAGAGAATGAGCATTGCAGTTCGAGGTTCTAGGAATGTGAAAAAACCTCAGAAATAAAAGAGCTAGCGAAAGATCTACATTCATCCTCAACGGCACCCAAATACGAGATGTTTCTACTGGATGGATTATTGAGTGCTTTAATCAACATAGCACAATCAGACAAAACACTAACCTCCGAGAAGCCATGGTCTTTCATCCAAGACAAAGCCTCTTTAATCGCCAAAGTTTCCGCAATTCGTGGCTCTAAAGGACAGTTAATGCAAGAGTTGAAAGCTCCAATAAAAGAGTTATCTTCACCTCTAAGGATTGCACCGACTCCCACCCGCCGAACATTCTCGAACACAACTGCATCCACCGAGCACGTAATGCCGCTGATTCTAGACTCCGTCACAGGTGTCTTCGACCCCGAACAGTTTGATGGCGTTGAGGCCAAAGCCTCCCTGGTCCAAGCCTCGATGATACCCACTATCGGCAGCTTACTCTCCCAATTGGCCATGTTCCTCGCCTTCCACACTGCCCAGATCCCCGCCGCCACGCAGTCCATTTCCCTTCTGACCCTATTGCAAAAGTTGAAATCTGCCCAGTGCAATAGCGAATCAAAACAAAGGCCATGGTTATTGACAACCCTGACTCCCAGCACCCGCCACAATCTCTGCGCAACCGGGCATGCCACGAAAACATGAGTAACACTCTCCTCAGCAGAACCACAACTACGGCATAAAGTATCTACCTGTATTCCTTTACTCACCAACAAACATGCAACCGGCAAAATATCCTGCAGGGCCCTCCAAAAACAAACTTTAACTTTAGGAGCCACATTCAGCTTCCATAACCTGCTCCAATGGTTAAAAAAGGACGTGTCTGATGCCTCCCCAGTAAGCTTTCGTGTAACATGCTATGGTCTCAACGCCCTTACGAGGTAGTGATGAGTTTCACGCGCTCTAAGCCCGGCCCGCGCGCGGTTAGGAAGATTGGCCGCAATCTGAAAAGATCCTTTCGGTACCACCCACCCTACCCTACCACCTATAGGCGGCCGTCCATCCTACAGCCGCCCGAAAAGGAACTGCAGTGATCTTGAATAGGAATCCTACAGCGATAAATAGAATCCCCATAAAAATACCACTAGATCGAGCACCAGTGATTTCGTATCCGGTCAAAATCTTGGCTAATTGATCGAAGTGGGTAGCTCCAGTAGACCCATAGATCATGGAACAAATAGGGTGGGTAGGCCAGACGCGAACCCCCCTCGTTACCGTACGTG